CTCAACTGCTAAACAGAACATTGTAACAGCATCGTCAAGATCTTCGAGACGCCCCAAACGCTTATAGCGCTCGTGTAAACGGTTGCCCAGAAAGGTCAGCCGTAATGGCTGTTCAGGATCACCATATGCCGTATACGTAACGGCGTCTCGTAGCGCCGCAACTGCACGATCGAGCTCATCATGTGAGTTATTCAGCACGAAGCGAGTGCGGAGTCGACGTCCGAGGTCAAAGAGAAGTTCAGCAGAGCTTGGTCCGAGTTCGACGGCCAGATCAATGGCGGTCTGCGTAGTATCTATCGTCGCGTCCAGGTCAGCCGGGTTCCGAGTAGTCAAGTAGATGTTCCACTGTGCATTAGAAAGCGCATGAAATGCGATCTGTGGTGTTCTCGTTCAACATCGCAATCACTGTGAGCGCATTTGGAATTCTCACCGAGAGCCCAGGTAGTGCATCGGAGGACTAGAACGCGTTCAGCATCTGGATACAGATGTCTAGGAAATGAAGCACGTACCATGGCGCAGCGGAAGCAAGGTGAGCAGTGAGATCGTCTGCGGCTGCAGCTTGGTGTCGTGGCTATATAGACAGGATGTGAAACGGGGAAGCTCTTCGCTTTCTCCATATCATGCCCCGCATGTGTGTGCAATGCGGTGAAGGCCGTGAAATGCGAGGTCGTACGAGGAATCGAAGCAGAATCGTAGGCGCTGATAAGCGAGTCGCGATTGCTTAGCGCCTGTACATAGCTGCATGCCCTGCTGCTACGCCGCGACACCGGACGTGAAGGGGTGGGACCTAATGCCGATAGCTCGTCTTTTCTCGCTCTATGAGGAGCACGAGAGCATCCGATAGGATAGTACTCCAGGTACTGTTCATCCAGGTAGGACTGTAAGAGACGCCAGGTGAAGATGAAAGGTAATCTTGCTAGTCGGCCGCACAGCAGGTGCGTGGCCGGCGACGTGCGTTCCGAGTCCGACGACTTCGCACTCGAATAACAACAGAGCATATGCGATGCTGTCGTTCTATTTCACATATGTAACATGACAGTGGTGATAAGGACGCTGTGATTGAATAGGAAGTTTATCCTTCCGATGATGGAGGGCAAGGACGAGGCCAGCGCCGCCGCGGCTTCGCGCGTGTCAGCGGTTCGGAAACTCGGGCCGAAAACGCGCATAGGGCTATCGACAGCCAATATTTACCTGCGCTGTATGTACTGTGAGCTCCAAGTGAGTCGGTCGTATCTCATTGACTTAGTACTACGTGATCTTAACTCCTCTACTACGTATGTGAGAGCAAAAGAAGGGTATATAGTTCTTCTGGTGTACCATTCCTGGAGCGCTTACGTACAGTTTCCGACGGGTTCATAGCGCTTCGATGTTCCATCTCTGAAGCTTCGTAGAGCTATATGTTCGAGGCCTCGAGGACGCTCGGGATGTAGAGTGAACTTTCATTTGCGCCCGCATAGATGTCGTATGTGGAATTGATCTCAAAGTTCCTCCCCCATTCCTACTAGTCATCTTACTTTACGACAGACGGCGGGGGCACAGAGGGGGAGCTGAACCGGATTGATGGAGTACAGGGAGGAACGGGGGTCATACTCCAGCGTAAAAAGGCGTACACACGCCTAATTCACAACGCGCCTTTTCCACCTATAGGACCAGAGAGAATAGAGGTCGAGTTCTTCACGAGGAAGTTGTCGAGGGTGGCGAGATTCGTGGCCCGCCGCGCGCCAGCGGCTGGAGGGTTGTCGACGGCCTTCTCCTGCCTGTAGAAGCCACAGTATAGGTTCGCACATGGAAGCGCTCTTCATCCATCACGCGTCGGCAGGCGGGAGTATCAAAGCCTGGAGAACTGCTTGAGGTACGAGTGGGGCCGGGGCGCGCGAACGCGAGTGACGTTGGCGGAGGTGCCAGGCGCAATTGAAAAACCAATTTGACGTTGTCACACAATACTGCAAAAAAAGATAATGGATGCTATAGTTCGTACGGCTGAGTATGCCGCGGATGGTGGTGGCAAGAGGCAAGGTCGCGCAAGCGCGCCGCGGCGATCAAACCCGAAGTCCTCATGTGATTCCGCTCCGGATAACGCGCCTCCTCGGACACATCCTACGCGTCCTTGCTCCAACCCAGACGGCCAGCACTCCCACCTCTCATGGCAACCTTCTCATGGTCCGACGCGTTTCACGCCGCGCTCAACCCCTGCCTATCCTGCATTCGCTCTCCCCCTCCATCTTCCGACCCGCACCAGCAACATAGACGGTACTCCGACCTCGAGCGACTACTCGCCAACGACTCGACCGCTTCACTCGACCACGACGCCGACGCGCTCTCTTTGCACTCGAATGCTGGCCGCGGAGGGACGAGGAGGAAGAAGAGCGTGTTCCCGAAGAGCATCACGCTGTTTGGCTACCACCTCTTCGGGCGCCCGCCTATCCATCTCCCCGAGGACGAACCGTCGCTGGAGCCCTCGCGGCCCATACGACCACCCCACACAGACCGCGTCGTCAGCACCGCATCGCTCGATCCCATACCCGACGCCGCGCCTTTAGACGCAGACGCGATTCAGGCGCGCGCGAACGAGGAGGCGGAGCGGGCGGAGAGGAAGAAGCGGAGGAGGGAGAAGAGAGAGGCGAAGAGGGCCGCGCTGGCGCTCGCGATGCAGAACGGCGGGAACGAGGGCGAGGGCGCGTTTGAGGGGTTCCAGGGGAGCGGGCCGGTGCAGTTTGGGCGCGGGCTGTACTCGGACGAGACGTCCAGCGCGTCCGGCTCCGGCTCGGGCTATTCACGGCCGAGGATCACGACGCAGCAGCCTGAGGAGCGGTATATGGACGACGTAGACGGCGATGCAGACGGCGACTTTGATGCGCTCGCGTACTCGCGCCGCGCGCCCCGCGGAACGTCGGCAAACGGCTCGGACTCGCGCTCCCGCACGTCTGCCTCTCAGTCTCAAGGCCCGCTGTCGCCCGGCATCGCGTCGTACAACCACCAAGCGCTCTCGTCGTCGCCTATGCCCCACTCGCCACTATCACCTCATCACGACCCCTCCATCACCCGGCAGAAGAAGCACAAGAAGACGAAGAGCAGTAGGACGGGCAGTAGTAAGAAGAGCGGCAGCTCCGCCGCGAGCTTTAGCGTGCCGTCGCCCTCTGCAGACGGGTTCCCTCATGAACCGGCGGTGGCGGTGGCTGGAGCGAGCGAGGGGCAGGCGTTTGAGGGGTTCCCCGACGATCTGCAGGAGTTGCCTACGGCGCATGCTATTGCGACGTTCCCCGACGCGCAGGTTGCTAGTCCGGGTTTGCCCAGTCCGGGGCTGGCTTCCCCCGCGACCCCATTTCCGAGTACAGGCCTCGGAGGAAGGAGGTCGGGTAAGAGCGATCTTGGCGCGTTCCTCGCGTCCAGGTAGAGAGGCCGGCGCTGCGTTGGATCACTCGGTCGGACTGAATACTTGCATAATCATATCGTGCGCATATATTCAATGTTAACTCTGACGATCGTGCTCATTCACGCAATAGATACTACTTATGGATCTTCATCGCACTCTCATGTTGTATATACCCCTTGCCATCCATGCTCTAATCATCACTGTCCCCCTCACACCTTTCTCATGTATCAGATGGGCGCGATGCTCGCTCCATTCATCAATCGCTCTTGCAAGCTTAAACCCGTACACGCGCCATGCTAACCTTTGAACATGTACGCTGAGCCGAAGAAAGCTTTTTGGAATGGCACTATGTATGCTTGCATGAATATAATTGACAGTACAACTACGTTACATCGAATGTGTAAGAGCGTACAAGCGCGCTATTCGTAGTGGCGACGCGAACATGTCCCGCCATATATGTACTCGACATTACACCATCGGCACTGAGTTAGGCGGGTGTGGTGGTGGCCGTCGGGAGCTTTGAGCGCCTTCGCCTTTGAGTTCCCCATCGCGTTGAGCGCGTCCGAAAGCGGCGGTTTCAAAGGGGCGCTCTCAAGGAGTGTGAGTGGATCATCAGGTAGTGGGCGAGCTAACGTAGGGTATTCATCGACCCGAAAGGTCGCTCGACGTCTTCACCGTAAGAGAAGGTGCATACGTCGTCTAGACGCCGCCGTCCACGCTATCGCTCCCTCCAGCACCGCTCAGAGGGAGTTCGATCGGAGTTCGACTGTTCGCTTTGGCTCTGGCCCTCGACGGACGGAAGATGTCGGTGTCGACGGGCGCGGCGGGCAAGTAAATGGGAGAGGGAAGGATAGACGGGATGGACGACTGCGTGGTCGAAGGTGGCGGTGGCTGGGCGAGGTACGCAACTCCCGGTTTTGCGCGCGATGCCATTTATCGATCCATGGCGAGACCATTCTGATAGGGCGGGACGGTCGAGGGCTCCATGTCGTCGTCGTCCAGATCGAGCGCGCGGGTGGCGATGATGGCGGGGCACCGAGTTGGCGTGTATGCGCTCATAAAGGTCAGATGGGGTAGGATCGTCGTTATGTATGCATTATCGGGATGTGGTCGGCGCCAGGAAAAACGAGAGTGTGATGGCGGTCAGAACGGGTGATGGTGGGGGCAAGAGAAAAGTCGTATCGTCCTCACGCGCGCGTCGAAGCTGAGACGCGCCTTGTTCCCCGACCGTCATCATGGCCTTGCTCGCGCTTCCCCCGTAGCATTGGTCAATGATATATCATTTGTTTCTTTGAACGAACGGCGTTAATCACCAGAGCTACTGCGTATGCGCGCCTATGTCGCGGGTCTCCGCGCGACCGCCTGCAATGCTTAGCGCTCAGCATGGCCCGCGCCATCATTGTCCTGGACATCAACACGGGCTTCCCATCTCCGTGCAAGCCTTAGTTGAGGCTGAGGGCCGGCAGGGAATGATTGCTGGTTTTGCGGGCCCACGATGGTGCGAAAGTATCTGTCGTCGGCTATTACAAGGGGTGGAGCCGGGATTGTGCTCTGAGGGTTGGTAAAGTGAGTCTAGTACTTTCCGAACTGTACAACCTATGTTTTGGACGCGCATGTACTAACTCTGCGTGCTAGGCTCCTCGTCTTTGATCAACGACCGCCAGCCCAGGATGCCGGAGCGCGTTCGGCTTCCTTCACCCCGCGATATTCTGGGCTCTACGAAACCTTAGCGCATAACCCGGGTACTCGTACTAGGCAAAGACCCACCGGATTAGTGCGTCGTAACGATGCACACGCTGGAAAACGGGTTCACCACGGATGGCCGTGCGCCTGGTCTCCGGAGTCCCTCTACCCTGGCTCAGGCGTCGTGGTGCGTGGAAGGTTATATGTGTGAGTGCTAGTCGGGTCATTGGGGGAGACTCTTGGGACCGACTCTGCTCTATCTAGATGCCACGGGAGGTGCAACGAGTAAAGAATCTCAGGGTACTGCTCTACACTGTCTTGTCAATCGTGCATACGACTGAGCAGGCAAAGCAATGGTTGTCCATATTCTTCAATTTTTGTAATACAGTCATTCTATGCTCCAACATAACGGTAAAGAGCGCTGATGAAACACAACGGCATGCGTACACGACGGTGGGAAGCTCGCCACCATCGGCAACAATGCGTGGGTCCAGGGTAGCTCGGATGTGAAAGGTGAATTTCCCGCCAATCCTTTATCGTGATTCGCTGGACGCTGATTTAAGCTTCCACTGTATTAGGCTTGGCTTTATCGCTTGGCTCGAAGGGCCAAGCAAGCTGGCTTGCCTTGGAGTCCAAAGTACCAAGCGACAGAGTGTTCTTTGTACGCGTCATCGCCGAGGAGCAGTAGCTTGACGGCGCAATTCTGTACGCTCAAAGTACTCATCAATGCCTCGATCGTCTCGCACCCTGCAAGAGGAACCGCTGTGTTGGATGGCAGAGTGCCGATGCAACGGTATGCGGTAACGGCGGACTGTGGTACTTCGCGCTAGCGCTCACTGCCCTCGTGGGTCCATCTGTAGACTCTGACCAATGACGCCTGTCACCGCTGCATGCTCCGAACTATCACTACCATTACCGTGACATCGGGCGCACGCAAGGGTCCGTCGGAGTGGATGGAGAGCGGTCTCGCAGACACACGATGCGTACCAGTGCCCGCACGCTCGCACCTCGAGAGAAGCATAGCCGAAGCAAGGGTGAATCTCTGGTTGCCTATTGGCCCTTTGGCTTGGATCCCGGCTGTGAACGCCCACCGTCCTTCGCAAACCTGCAACATGTTCCGATGATATTCTCTGGTGCAAGGCCAGATCCGCTCAGCATGGCTAACAGTGTTGACAGGTATAAAGGCTCCAGGCGAGGAGAGTGATAGAGGCCAGAGCTCTTCGGTTCTCTTTCAGCGCCACCCGGTCTTCCAGCTTACTCGCAATGGCCTTCACCGCTCTTCTCTCGACAGTTGCTCTCGCCACCGTTGCCAGCGGTGAGCGCGCTCCTGTTTGCTATCCAAGACATGCATACTGATAGGCGCTTGTTTGCTAGCCGCCATCACCAAGCGCGTCACCTGCGCCGATGGCAGCATGACGGCCAACGAGGCCTGCTGCGTGCTCTTCCCCATCCTCCAGGACATCCAGACGAACCTGTTCGACGGCGGCGAGTGCGGCGAGGAAGTCCACGAGTCCCTTCGTCTCACCTTCCACGACGCCATCGGCATCTCCAGGGCCAACGCCTCGGTCGGGTCCGTACACCCCTTGCTTCATCCACTCAGTTGCTCATGACTCTGTACAGTACCGGCGCGGACGGATCGTTCATATTGTTTGAGGACACGGAAACTAACTTTCACGCAAATCTCGGCACGGACGAGATCGTGAACGAGCAGAAGCCCTTCGTCGCCGCCCACCCGGAGATCTCCGCCGCCGACTTCATCCAGTTTGCTGGCGCAGTCGGTGTTTCGAACTGCCCTGGGGCACCCCGCCTCCAGTTCCTCCTCGGTCGCAAGGACGCCACCCACCCCGCAGCTGACAAGACCGTCCCGGAGCCGTTTGACACCGTCGACAGCATCCTAGCGCGCTTCGATGACGCCGGAGGCTTCACTCCGGCCGAGGTCGTTGCTCTCCTCGCCTCGCACACCGTCGCAGCAGCCGACCACGTCGACCCGTCCATCCCCGGCACTCCCTTCGACAGCACGCCGTTCACCTTCGACACCCAGTTCTTCGTCGAGACCCAGCTCCGCGGCACGCTGTTCCCCGGCAGTGGTGGCAACCAAGGCGAGGTCGAGTCTCCATTACGCGGCGAGATCCGTCTGCAGTCCGACTCTGAGCTTGCACGCGACGAGCGCACGGCGTGCTTCTGGCAAGCGAACGTCAACTCCCAGCAGCACATGATGAGCTCGTTCGCGGCGGCGATGGCCAAGCTTGCTGTGCTCGGCCAGGACACAGGCTCGATGGTGGATTGCTCGGATGTCATCCCCGTGCCCAAGCCGTTCACGGGCTCCGCGACGTTCCCCGCTGGACTCTCCAACGCCGATGTCGAGCAGGCCTGCGCTACCTCTGCCTTCCCCACCTTGAAGACCGACCCCGGCCCGGCTACGTCTGTGGCTCCTGTGTACGTTCCCCTTCCTCTTTTGCGCCCGATCTTGTGCTAACAGTACTTCACAGCCCTCCCTCGTAAGGCACTGATTTAGCCTAAGTTATACTCTGTATTAGGATTTCTCTGGTCGTCTTGTGCTTGCAATTGTCATACTTGGGTTCGGTGTGCTTATCGCATATCAATGTCATATATCATTCAATTTTCTACGGATGTGAAACTGCCTCTCCCGAGGGAACCGGGTACATAGCGACAGTCTACATGATTGTACATAACCAAGGTTTCAAGCGCCGAAGTGCACGAATGGTACCCATCGCATGAAGCTATCGTCGCCTACTCTCGCCCGCAGAACGTTCGTAGCCTCATGGAGGGCATACGCCGCGCCCGTCTCTCCCTTCCTTAGCATCCCATCGCTGCGCAATGCGAGTAGCTTCTTATAGAACGCCTCCACAACGATAGGCGCGTCATCGTCCCTGATAGACCAGGTCGTACCGACGACCCCCTTGAATCCCACCGCCAACATTCCCGCCGCGAGATGCGCAGATTCTTCCGGGTTCTGCAAGGCGCCGACGGCGGTCTGGCAGGCGGAGAGGAAGGCTAGTTCCGCGGAACCGTCGGACACGGTGTTCATGAGATCAGTGAGTGAGAGGCGCCCGTCGTGTAGCATGAAGGCGCTCTGCGTTGGGTCCGCAAACATATCCTGCGAACCATGACACGCCAAGTGTACCCATGTGGCGCGCTGCTGTGACAGAGCACCCCGGACAGCGTCCACTGTCGCGTCCCCGCCGTCGAGGATGGTGGTTTCGATGTCGGATGGTGCAAGCGCCTGCAAGAGGTTCTCGCGCTCTCTGATGGTCCCTGGTAGAGCGCTTTGGCCGGGCGTTGCTGACTGCGTAACGAGCAGCATTCGGGGTGCGGCCCCGCTACAATGCACTGGCTTGTGGCAGCTCCGTATGAGCGCGCTGAGTGACGGTGCATACGATGATACCACAAAGTCAAACACACGCGGCCCGAACGCTTCGTTGTATAATCCTGCCGCGTGCAGCGGTAGGTACGCGAGCCATCCTGTTGGACACCAGGTGATATGCGGCAGGCGGTCATTTTCCATCTGTTCCACATGATCAGCGCGTTTCTCAAGTATAGAAAAGACAACACACCATAGCATGAAGATCCAGAGACTGCAAGATCGGATGCACAACCCAGATCCACAGTCGTTCGAGCACCAGCGTGAACGCATCTTGATGACCGCGCGGCGGCGCAACTGGGACTAAACCGCGTTCTCGCCCCATAGACCCAACTACTTGCGTCACCCATATGTTCAGCAAGCCTTCCGTTCTCTTCAGAGAGAGCTGAGGAAGAGAGACGGAGGTGAGAGCTCCGTGGGGATGTACAATCAACGCGTCGCAACGGCTGGGATGGATGTTGATGAAGATGACAGGTCCACTGAGATGCACCAGTGATGGTGCAATGGCCTCGAAGCTGATCGGGAGGAGAAACCCACCAAAGCCTATAAGGGCGCGGATCTCCACCAGCAGATTTTCTCGCTGAATAACAAGCTGGCGATGATGAGTCGCCGCGGAGTCGGCCGCATAGCTGAGAATATCTCCAGCCTCGAACGCGAGGTTGCTAGGGACAGAATCCCGTAGCTGTTGTTGAATATCCTGGAGAGCATCTGCGAGCCTGGGGCTGACTTCACGTAAGTCATCGAGTGGCGTCCGCAGGGACGAGACTTGTGCCCATATCAAAGCTCTTCCCGCTTCCAACCATTCCACAGCCTGTGCCAATGCTCCCAAGGATACCGCAACCGACACCGCGGAGTTGATGAGGGCACCCATATGAAAGGACTCCTTGTAGCGTCGTTGGACATTGAAGCCCAACCAGACGATGTCAGGAACAATAGCGGTTATGATGCGCGCGATCATCAATATGGGCGCTTGGACTGTGTCGAACGAAGGGCATTCGGATAACATGTCTATGCAGCTCTTCGCCGCGCTCAGACGGCTCCGATGATTCCCGATACGGTGTAGTGCCGACTCGAGGAAAGACTCAACGGCTACGTTGAAGTCCGTTCGGATGTTGGTGTGCCGGAATAGCAACCTCTGAGCACAACCAAGGTCGTGCAAGAGATCAGACCGCCTTGGGTCGCTATCGGCGATAAGATCCGCCGCCTTCGAGAACAAACGCACAGTTTTCTCTATATCATCAGAGCATTCAAGGCTCTCAAAGCGTCGAAGATAGCACTCTGCGAGGCTATGATGATATAACCAAAGATTCGGATAGCGCTCTGGAGCAAGCTTGAGGGCCAGATTTCCCGCGGAGATAGCATCCGAGACTGTGGCCGTGGACCCAGTACACTCATATTGCTTGCAGAGGGCTGTGCAGTACCATCCGAGTATCATAGGCTTTCGGGGATCCTCATCGGCGGTGAGTTCAATCGCGCGCCGGAAAAACAAAGTGGACTGCTCGAGATCATCATCCTCTGCCAAGCTCTCTGAGTCGAAGCGTCTAAGTAGCGCAGCACCCAGACTTTGAAGCCTCGAGGGTTGATCATGATGCCCATCCGGGGTGAGCTCGACTGCCCGACGGTGTAAGGCTATAGCCTCGCTAAGATCCCCAGGTTCGACCATACGCTCGAAGCGCACGAGAAACGAGTTGCCTAGGTTGCTATACAGCACTGGATTGGCAACGCATCCCATATTATTAGACGTGAGCTGGACCGCGCGTGTATGCACTGTAATGGCTTGCTCGAGATCCACGAGTGCTCCTGTACTTTGGAAGTGTTCGAGGTGCGAGTTTCCCAGATTGTTGAGCAATGACGCCTTGTCCGGATGCTCATCGGGCGTCAGCTCGACCGCCCGGTGGTTCGTCGAGATCGATTCCTTGAGAGCCTCGAGCTCTCCCGTATGTGCGAAACGCGCATTGAGCGAGTTTCCCAGGTTGCCAAGCCTGTGAGCCTTATCAGGGTGGCCGTCCTGTGCGAGTTCTACTGCGCGACGACGCGCAAGAATGGCCTCATCGAGGTCTATCAAGCGCGCGGTTCGCTCGAAACGCACGAGCAACGAGCTTCCTAGGCCGTCCAAATACCGTGCTTTGTCGGGATGGTCGTTGGGAGTGAGATCGACTGCGCGCTGATGGGCTGAAAGACCGCGCTCAAGATCTTCGCGCTCGCTGAGGTGCTCAAACCGGGTCAAGAGCGACACTCCTAGGGCGTTTAGCTGCCCTGGCTTCTCGAGATGATCGTCGTGAGTAAGATCAACCCCACGATGGTGAGCCAAGATGGCCTTCTCCAGATCTTCGAGTTCTCCGTTCTGCTCAAAAGCTTTATGAAACGAATTTCCCAAATTGGTGAACAACAATGCTTTGTCTGGATGGTCATCAGCCATGAGCCCGATCGCGCGGTGATGGGCTACAGTAGCCAGCGTAAGATCTTCAGGCCCGCCAGTACGCCTGAACCGTACGAGATACGCGTTCCCCAGGTTGTTCAACTGCGACGCCCTCTCAGGACTATTGTCTGATGTAAGATCCAGTCCGCGGGAATGAGCTGAGATAGCACGTCCGATGTCATCGAGATCTCCGGTACGCCTGAAGCGTATCGTGAGGGCAGTACCCAAGTTAGCTAAGCACGCCGACTTTCCTGGGTGCTCATCTGCTGAGAGCTCGACCGCTCTGCTGAAGGCTTTGATCGCACCGTCGACATCTCCGAGCTTCTCCGCCCTCTTTGAGCGTTTCAGGAAGTATAGCCCGTACTTGAAGAGGAGTTCGGGTTTGATAGGATTATCGTCTTGTATCAACTCCATCACGGGTTGAAACGTCTTAATACCGTCGTTGAGGTCTTCAATCGTGCTTGTTCGGTCGAAACGCTCGTCCAGACAAAGGCCCAGGCGGAGAAGTCGCAGAAGTCGCTCCGGATCGCCCTTTGACGTGAGTTCGACTGCACGTCGAAACATGACAATAGCGCTATCCATATCATCGGGGGCGCCTTTCAACTCGTAGCGGGTGTCGAACCGGACTCCTAGCCCGTACAAAAGTAGTGCATCGGGCGGCTCGAGGTCATTCATCTGCGAGAGCGAAGCTTGTGCCACATCTATGGCGGCGTCCAAATGACGCGTAGACCCAGTGGCGATATAGGTGTTCCACAATGCGTCCGATAGTCGACGAAATTGGACCTGCGGCGTGTCTGCATTCTGCGCATGTGTATCAGAACACAGGCAGATTACGACCAACGCATATAACTTGCCGGGGAGATGTAGGCCATGAGAAGAATCGTATGAGCAGGCGTCAACTAACAAGCAGTTCAATGGTTGGGGTTTTGAAAAGGTCGAGCGAGACTTGAGGGCTGCGACAAGCCTTATATAGCATATCGGATCGCCGGGTCTACGAAATACCATACATGCAGTGAGTATGCGTTAAACCCAAGGGTATAGAAGCTCAGAGACTAGGACTCCTCTCGTCCTCTGAAACATGTTCGATAGCCAAACCCTAAGATTTGGAAGCAGGGTCTGACGCAGCAGACGAGTACGTTATTCAGAGGTCATATCATCAGACCTATCACGTTGCACAGCACATACGAGTGCACTGGAGTTCCCATTGACACTTTTCGAAGTACAATTAGACAACAGTTGGAGGTGTGGTGGTGGTTGAAAGTCAATCGCGAGACAACATCTCGCGCGCATTTTCTCGGATAATCGTCGGCCGAGCGGGCCGACCAGCCACGAGCCGCATTAAGTAAAACCCTACGATATATTCCGGGAGTATTCCGCTCTGCTCACAAGGCACTGCGAGTCTGTACAGTACTATTGATGCTGATTGGTAGAGGGGTAGACAGGTGACTTCAGAATTGAGCGGCCATCAGCGTATGTGTATGCTATGCGAGCGATAACAACTCGGACAAGGCTCATGTAAGTATTAATCCTCAAAGTTCCTCTCGCCACCTCCGCGGGCCGAACATATTCAGATAGTAACGGTGGTCCCACTGATGGTGACGGCCGCGGTGTACATCTGGCGAACCGAAGCCGTCTTATTGAAGTCGGCGTGGAATACGGCCTGTGTGCCGGCGCGGTTGATGTCTAGCCCTCCTGGCGCGTAGAGTTGAGCGTAAGGCGATCCGGTCTTGAGTAGGGGTGTAGCGCTCTTCGTGTACGGTCCGAGTACCGACGGCGCCGTCGCGTACGAGACGTCGTACAAGCTCCCGCTATAGCAGTTCGAGCTGAAGAAGAGGACGTAGGTGCCGTCCTTCTCAACGAGCGAGGGGGCTTCGACGAGCGGGCCGTCCGCATCGCTACGGTCCAAAATCTGCTTGGCAGAGCTGCCGGCGGCAAAGGCGGTGCCGTTGGGCGTCATCTTCTGGATCATAATGGGCGTGGGCACAATGGGGGCGACACTGTTGCCGCAGTTCCCACCGTGGCCGACGCTGTTACCGTCTACCTTCCAGGCGAGATAGAGCGAGCCATCAGTATCGATGAAGGCAGCGGGATCAATAGCTCCACCAGCACTGTAGTCGGTTTGTCAGCACTGGGCGAAGGGCGTCTAGGCTCAGATAATGACGCACGAGACGGGGCAAGCAAGAACGTCTGCGATGGGGGTATAGGGACCGGCAGGTGAAGAGGATGTTGCAGCGCTAACACAGTGTTTGTTGGGACTGCTAGCGGTCTCGGCCGCGTAATACATGAGGAAGCTATCGGTCCCTACATTTCGTGTTAGCCGTGGTTGTATTCAGAACTGGTCAAGCAGAACCTACCCAATTGTATAACGTCCGGTGCCCAAACGTTATGTCCGTTACTCCAAGCCCCTACCGTAGGAAGCGCATCGGCGAGCGGCTTCCAGTTGACAAAATCGGTCGACGTTTGGACCGGGACGTGTTTGCCAGCGCTGGTAGTGGAGAACACGAAGTAGGTGCCGTTCACGGTGAGGATGGCAGGGTCGGGGAAGTTCGCCGTGATGACAGGGCCGTCAATCGAGCGCTTGGACAGCGCAGCGGCACTGACTGAGAGAGGCACAAGGGCAAGAAGAGCGGTGAAGGAGAGCATGATGCACTGCGAGAAGAAATGAATGGCACGGACGACTTGTCCAGGGTTAGTGAACCCGATGAACAATTCGAGCCTTTTTATGTAGGCGTATACGGGTACAGCCACGAAGTAAGCAAACAGTTAAGGATGTATGGCTAACTTCCTGGTTGTCGCTTCTTGACATATGCCATACAGCAGATCACCGCTCGGCGCCCCGGTCGACGAGACATCTTTTGCTCAAGCGCTCATCGAGCGTCACCCCAGCGCCTTGCGTCCCTCAGTATCGATCTTCCCGACATGTGGATATGGCAACCAGTGTCGTTTGATATTCTCGTCGTACTTGGCAAAGTGCAAGAAAAATGCAATTAGATCGACAAACTTGAACGGGATGACGGTCAGAGCAAAGCCGCATTTCGAGGCGCACTCACGCGGCCTGCGCCGGGTTCGCATGACATGTCCCCAACCACCATCTCTCCACCTACACTTGTTCGCAATAGAATGAATGGCGTCCGATCTGCCGCCCAGGAGTGATCATTGCCCAAACCTCGTGCAACTTCACGGCCGGTGATCGGGGCGGGAAGGCGAGGGGCGATGTCGACCGCGTTGTGGGGGGAAGAGCGCCAGGGAAGGCAGACTAAATAGTGTAGATGTGCGCAAATATTTCATGCTTGGCCGTCAATGTCTTCGTACTCACCCGCCTAGATACTGAGGCTGCTACTTTATGACACGCACATTTGTACTATCGTGCTTCATGTACTGAATACGACGGATTTTCTGCATCGGACACGGGTTCATCAAGAACATACAGACATTCCATTCACCATGTATACATTCCGCATCTACGATCCCAGAACCATATGTCTAATCTACAACGACTTCATGCGCCGAAGTGTACGAAAGGAACCCATCGCATGAACTTGTCCTCACCCACTTTCTCCCGCAAAACCCTCGTCGCCTCGTGCAGCGCATAAGCCGCGCCCGTCTCTCCCTTCCCGAGCTGTCCCTCGCTTCTCAGGTTCAACAACTCCCTGTAGTACGCCTCTACGATGATAGGCGCGTCGGCGTCCTGTATCGACCACATGGTGGCGATGACGCCCTTGAAGCCGACCGCGAGCATGCCTGCTGCGAGATGGGCGGACTCCTCTGGAGTCTTTTCGTCGCCTACGGCAGTTTGGCATGCCGATAGGAACGCGAGCTCTACGTCATCGGCTATAGTTCCCATAAGATCTGAGAGCGTAAGGGGACCATCGAATAGGTGGAATGCGCTTTGCGTCGCATCTTGGACGTCTTGCGAGCCATGGCATGCAAGATGCACCCAAGGATATTCCTTCATCACGGCGCGGACTTCGGGTACGGTCGCGGCCTTGTCGTCGATCCAACGTGTTCCTACGTTGGACTCGCTGAGAACACCATTCAGGCGACGACCCTCATGAGTAGTGCCAGGCAGAGGCGCTTGATTTGGGGTCGAAGGTTGGGTCACGATAAGCGTCTCATGTGGCATAGCGTTCGAAGCATCGGTTCTGTGACGGCTTCGTTCCAGCGCTGAAAATGAGGTGATATAAGAGGAGACAACGAAGTCGTGCGCGCGTGGGCCGTACTGCTCATCGTATACCCCAGCAGCATGTAAAGGCAGTTGCATGATTGGACCAGTGGGGCACCAAGTGACATGGGGCAGGCGGCCGTTGCGAACCTACATGGACATCGTAAGTCGGTCAATATCGGAGCGCTATCGCAATCGGCTGCACTGCTCACCAATACGGCGAGGTCCAGTACATTGAGGATGGGGTGTACGATCCATGTCCAGATATGCTTCAGGTAAAGCTGCAGCCTACCTCGTGGGCCACCCAATTGTGTACCCCGCTCGCGAGCTCTGCCATTCATGACATAGCCAGTCCAAAGGCGGCGAAGTCTCTCTGCCCGCTCTAACGAGAGATTAGGGAGTGGTACTACGGAAAGTACACCATCTGGCAGCGCTATGATGGCATCGCAACGGCTCGAATGTACGTTGATGAAGACGACGGGCCCGCTGAGCGTCTTTAGTGAGGAGACGAGGCTATCAGTTCTTCTCGGAAGGAGGAAGTACTCAAAGCCGGGACATTTACGTATGTCCTTCAAGATCTTGTCATATTCAATAGCGAGAGCTCGATGACGATCCTCTGCAGACTTCAGCGAGATCCCAACTACGCTCCCAAGAGTATCAAATTCGGGAGCGAAAGAGGCATGCACGGATGATTGAAGCCGTTGCTGGAGGTCGCGGAGAGAGCGTGCAAGCTTGGGATGGGCGTCTTCTAGCTCGTTGACAGGGGTGCGAAGCGACAAGATCTGCGACCAGATGAGCGCTCTGCCTGCCTCGAGCCACTCCACCGCCAGAGGAGTTGCCCCAAAGGCAATCGCCGCAGCTACGCCAGCAGCCACGAGCTCTCCAAGCTCTGAAGATTCTTGATAGCGTCTTTCAATGGAATATCCAAGCCAGACGACCTCGGGAAGTATGGCGAAAAGTCTCGAGTAGGCCGCAAGGACCCGTTCTGGAGAGCTGAATGCAGGATATGAGCTGAGTATGAGAGCACAACGTCTCGCAGATTGAAAGCGGAGAGAAGGTGACCCAGAAGTATGCGTTGTTGATCTTTCGAAAGAATCAATCAAAGCTGTGAAGTCGTCTAAGGTCTGTGTGAGTTCGAAGAGTTGCAATTGGGCATCTCCTAGATTGAATAGTATTGCAGTGAGGAATGGATGTCCTTCTGGAGAGGTGTCGGCCGCCTTTTGCCAGAGATCGATGGCGGATTTCAAGGTACTGGCTTCTCCATTCAGGATGAAGCTCGAACGCAAGCAGATGGCCATGCTATTATAACGCAGAAACAGGTCAGGATGGCCATCTTGAGCGAGCTCTATGGCACGCTGCCCCGCTTCAATCGCACTTGACAGATCGCGCTGATCGTGAGTACGCTTGAAACGGGCCCCTAGTGCCTGACACAGATGGCTCAATAGCGCAGCCTTGTCAGGGCTATGTTCAGGTATCATTTCCACAGCTTGTTCATAAGCCGTAACGGCGTCCGTGAGGTCCTCTACATCCTTGGTATGCGTAAAACGTGCAGCCAAAGCATTGCCAAGACCATCACAGTATACGCCCTTCTTAGGATGGCCGTGAGGCGTCAGCTCTATTGCGCGACGTGCTGCAGTGATGGCTCCTACAGTGTACTCAAGGTCGTTCGAGCGGTAGAAGCGCGCGACAAGCGAAGCGCTGAGATTACTCAACCGCTGCGGGAGGTCGGCGTGGCCCTCGGGCGTAAGGCTGACTGCGCGACGATGCACCGACATCGCTTCTTCCAGGTCCTCGAGCTCGCCGTACGCCGCAAATCGCGTTTCGAGGGAGCTGCCGAGGTTGCAGAGCCATGTCGGCGCATCATGACACCCGTCCGGGCCGGATAGATCGACCGCTCGGCGAAGAGCTGCGATGGCATCGTCGATGTGCTCGCGCCCTCCGGTGTGCATGAAAAGCACGAGAAGGGAAGCCCCGAGGTTACTGAGGCAACCTGGTTTGGTAGGATGATGGTCCTCAGTGAGATTGACGGCACGATGATGTGCAGAGACGGCGGCCATCAGATCAGACAGCTCCCCAGTGTCCTCGAAACGTTGCCGAAGCGAGACCCCAAAGTTGGTGAACCACTTCGGCTTGTCAGGCTGCCCGTCCGGTGTAAGATCTATAGCACGGCGACACACAGAAATCGCTTGCGCGATGTCGTCGGACTCTCCGGCACTTTCGAAGCTCGCAATGAGAGCGGTCCCCAAGTTATTGAGATAAGTGGGCTTGAGGGGATGGTCATCAGGAGTGAGCTCAACCACGTGGCGCTGCACAGAGATGGCGTTTACAACGTCCTCAAGCCTCGCGCTACGCATGAACCGTTTGAAGAAGCTGTTACCAAGGCTACAGGCTCGTCTTGGCTTGTCGGGATGGCCATCCGGTGTGAGGGCCACTGCGCGGCTATGCAGGGAGATGGACTGATCTATATCCGGAAGGTTACCAGTCCTTTCAAAGCGTGCGTAGAGTGCATCGCCGAGATCGGTGTAACGCTTTGGCTTGTCGGAGTGACCATCAGGCGTGAGATACAGCGCATGCTCGAATATAGATACAGCTGTCTCGAGGTCCTCTGACTGGCCGGTCTCGCCATAGCGCGTCATAAGAGTGGTACCCAGATTGCCAAGCCACGGTGGCTTGTCAGGATCGGTGTCCGCCGTACTTTCGACCACCCGAAGATGTAACGCAGCAGCCTGCTCTAGATCATCGTGTTGTCCAGTAAGTTTGAAACGCGAGTGCAAGGAGCAACCGGTGTTGCTTAGACATGCTGGCAGAAGAGGGCTATCCTCCGGTATCAACGCGACGGCGCTGCGAAAAGCGGAGATAGAGCACTCGATGTCCTCGAGAACGCCCAGTCGTTTGAAGCGCATTACCAGAGAGCTGCCATAATTGTTGAGGATCAGTGGTTTCAAGGGATCGGTATCTGAGGTCAGCTCTACAGCACAGCGATAGGCTGTGACAACGCGATCAAGATCGTCAATATCCCCAGTACGTTCGAATCGCGCGCACGAGTACGTAGCTAACTGGATATGCCGCATTCTCTGCCGCGGGTCGTCATCAGGAGTGAGTCCGACAGCATTCTGGAACGATGCGATGGCGCGGTCGAGGTCTTCGGGCGCTCCCCGGATTCGGAGTCCCTGCAACTCGAAACGGGCAGCGAATCGGCGACCTAGATCGTAGAGTAATTGAGCCTGCGTGCTGGCGTCGTTCTCATGGTCGACAGCGAGCTGTGTGACCACGATGCAGTTGTCCAAGGCGGTTGAATCTTCATAGCCTTCGTAGCGTGCCCACAGAGCGTCTGCTAGTCCATGAAGGCTGACAAAAGAGCCAGGCATCTCATCGGGGCCTGAGTCGTGACGAGAGTTGGCCGAAGTCGGGATAACAACGTCCTACGCAAAGCGTCAGCTATCTGCAAACCCGGCATCGACCGTCGTCGCGTCGCAAAAAATGCTCACCATGATCGGCACTGGCGTCGTGGGGGTAGTCGGAAGAAATGCTGACAGCTCGCCGGGAGGACCGAGGCCTTCTATGTCGAGCTTGGTTAGTGTCGGCACAGCATCAGCGCTGTCAACCTGAGGCAGGTTAACTCGCACGCCCTATGCATGTAGAGCAACGGACGTCCCGCTGTTTCAAGGGGCTACATCGACGGGAATATATTTCTGAATTGCAGATCGAATACCCTTTAGAGGCTCAAACAGGGCGACTTCGGTCGCTACTGGCTTCGAATTGAGTGTATTGTGAACCAGGTCTGAGGTCGAGGCTCTGAAAACCAACATCAGCTGCGAGCCAAGGACGCGCGCGATGACAAGTTTCAGCCGGACCGGTATTCCCGGGAGGCAGATCTCGGGGTTTGCCGCTTTTAGTCGCCTAGCACTGAAGTTCGTTGGCCAATGCGAATGGTATCATAGTCATGTCATCGTAATCCGAACGTGCAAGAACCGACAAATATAATCCTAAAGTAAAGAGACAACCGCAAGCTCAAAGTGCCCTTCAGTCGTTGGACAGCTCGTCCCCCGAGTCGAGTAACCTGTACATCAATCAGCTATTGACCCAAACGAGAGAAGAGGGTGGGGCACGCACGAGTACTGCTTCATCAACGAGCACTCGCCGCCGTTCTCGAGGTCGATGCTGTACGAGTAGAAGTACCCTTCGGACGAGACGACCATCACCTGCGGCATCGTCCTGCCCACGCAACAGTACAGTCAGCACACCTCGCACGCAAACGTTCAGCGCTGAATGCGCACCCGCTGATAGCCACGATACACTTTGCCCCGCTCGTCGGCAGCTTCAGATGCGCAAAGTCGCGCGACGGCTCCCACATCTCCGTGAACGTGTTCGGCAAATACCCACCCACGGACGACGTTAACGATTTCGTCAAGTTTAACGACCGCCTCCGCACGCTCGACCTACAACTTCATCAGCACTGTCATCAAAGCCAAAGAGAAGTGGCTACGCACGACACGCCGCCCTTCTTCTTCCCGTCGATAAACGCGTCGTACCCGCCCTCCATCGCGCCCGCGCCCTCCCGACTATCCACACTCGGCACCGGACTCGCAGCCCCATCCACCGCCCCAACACCCGCACCCGATCCATTCCCGTGCGGCCCCAACTTAAAAATATGCACCGTATCATGCGCGCTCGACACCGCCAACAACGTGCTGACCGCATTAAAGTTCATAGAGTATATCCGTGCTTCCCTTGTGCCGCGGCGGAACTGGTACAGCTTCTCGGCGCCGGGGACGCTCCAGACGCGGATGACGGTGCCCTTCTCGGAGGAGGTGGCGAGGAGGGTGCCGGTGCTGTTGAGCACGAGCGCGGAGAGGGGCGCTTTGTGTGCGCGGATGAGCTGCGTGACGGTGAGGGATTTGGTGGAGAAGAGGACGACGTCGCCGGTCGGGGCTGGTGGGGCGCCGGGCGGGGGTGCGGTGGGAGAGGGGGTGAGGGTGCTGGGTGTTGGGAGAGGGGAGGGGTAGGCGAGGTAGGAGTTGTCGGCGGAGGGGGAGAGCGAGACGATTGCTGGAGGTGGGTGTTAGCGTGTTAAAGTTGAGAAGCGGGGAGATCGAGAACGCGGAGAGGCTAGGGCGGGTGAACCGCATACACCGGTATATGCACCCGCAGCGTGCCTATACGCGTATGGGCCGCAAGAACGAGCATAAACACCATGCTCGCGCCGCTCCCGAGTACCAACAGAGTCTCACCTTCTGGATTGGGCGGCGTCTCAATAACATGCTGCAGGCGCATGTTGGAGATATCGTAGATATAAATCTCGTTCTCGAGCACAATCACGAGCGTCTTCCTGTTCAGCTTGACCGCGAGGATCGACGAGGGAAATAAGAGCTCGCAGATCATGGATTGGCGCTTGGTGTTGACGATCTGCAGCTTGCGCGGACTCGAGGACGGTTGGTCGGCCGCGCCGACGAGGGCGATGAGGGAGGTGCAGAAGAGCATCTCGACGGTGCCGCGCGCGCCGTCGTCTGTTGGTGTTGTTAGTAGAGGACTGGTGGGGGGTGTGGGGGCGCGCACTCATTGTGTATACGCGGCCGAAGGGGTCGCAGTTGGTGATGCTGTAGCCCTTGCGCGTTCCGACAGACACACATCTGCGTCTACTGTCAGTACACGCCCACTTCGATACTAGGAGTGACGCACGTAAAGTCCTGGTTGAAGTTGGCAAAGAGCATGTTCGAGTTGGACTTGATCATCGTGGCCGCCGCTTTCAGACCTGCACTGTGTAGTAGAAGCGCGCGCGCGGTGGACGCTCGGGCGGAAGTGCGTTCGGACCGAAGAAGGCTAAACGGGGATCAGCTTCCCGCGGTTGCGAGCTTGATCTCCGACTGCCATGAGGGTCACATGAGGCGTCGCTATATATTCTACGCTTTTACTGCTATCGACTATGAGGAAAGCTGGCTAGATGTACACGTCGCGGAATGCAAGACACTGGCCTCTGGAACGGATACTGGATGCAAGACCGTAGACGCACTCTCCTTCGCCCATTCAGAACGCCACCCTTCACCGTCTTCATGCTTTCAAGCTCGCGAGCGCATATCACAGCAGGAGCTCAAGAGCAACATCACCATATCAAGCGCGACCATTCTGCTTAAGCCACCGTTGCAAGCCACGGCGATGGAGGGCTACCACACCTTGGCACGATCGCGCGACGTTGGTTGCTGGTCGGCGACGAGAGGGCCATAAGGTTCGACTACGGGCCGCTTTTCGACGTACACCATGCCGCGCAAGAGCTCGTACACAACACCGTGAACAGCGCTGTACATGATTGCACCACTCCTTCCGCGCACTCTTCCCTGGCGATCCAAGCAGACTTCTATTCATCCCATCCGCCCTCCGCCCTCCGCGCGCCGTCCACCGACATCACCCCTCACGGCCCATGCGTCATGCTCTCCGGCTCGCTCTGCGACGGCGGAGGCCGCAACTTCGAGGGCACGCGTCAGTGCGACCAACAACGTTGACGGGGCGGAGGGGCAGGATTAGAGTTTAACCCTCGGTACGGACGAGGCGTAGAGCGTGTTTTGCGGAGATGTATGCTGCCTACAAGCCGCCCCATACCCACGCGGCGTAGTGGGCTTGTGCTCTTCTGGGGCGCAAGCTACCGCGATTTCATATTCCTATGCAATACACGATCGGAGAAGGGCGCAGACTTGGACGCCCACGCTGGCGATCGTGAGGACGCGGCCTTAGGTTGACACCTGCGGGCCGCAGACGGTCGCGAAGACGCATGGTTGACATCTGCATAAGGTACGTCGTGTCTATGTGGGGTGTAGGGCTTCCGAATACACTCATTAACCTTGCGACAGTTGTCGGACTCGGGACAACTCTAAAGCGACGCTATTTGTGTCCCTAATGCGCCTGTCCTAGTGGCTGAGGATGGGCTTATAAGATTTACCAGCAACAAGCTGGATTACCAGCGCACCTCTGCGCACTTCCCCAGTGAGCCTCTTCCCGCATCTCCAGGTCTGACCCGTAAGCTGATATGAGACGTTACAGCTCAACAACTCCATCATCTCACGCCATGCACCCCTCGTCTACAGAGCGCAGCAAGCCTCAACTCAAAGAGCAAGAGACTCTCTCATTCAGCCTCCATCGCCACCCAGAACCCACCGCCGCACTCCACACCCTCTCAATCCGCTTACAACAAGCCGCCATCGTCGCCTTCGCCCTCGCCGCGCAATCCTGCGTCACCTACCTCACCATTCACGGTTTCTTCGTCGTCGGGCCCTACAGGTCTCACATTAGTCTTTGGCAGGCGATTGCCACGGAGGGTCTGAATGTCGGCAATGCGGTGCAGGCGATGGTGCTTCTCGCGATGCCGGTGGTGATGGCGGGGTCGCTTGTGTATATGGTGTCGAGCGTGTGGCGGAAGTTGGAGGAAGATCTTGTGGTGCTGAACAGGTTTGCGAGGCGATATTGACCATGCGCGACAGGCGCGGGTTAGGCTTTCGGTAGGTACGTCTTTCATGAACACGATCGGCACCTCGATACTGATGTATGCCGGTTGATAGTAGCGATTCATGAACACTATATGTATAGTTGGCCCTAACGGACCGGCAAGTAACTTAAGTCGCAGAATATATGCGGAGTGGGCCAAGTGAGCGGTATGGGTATACGAGGTCGCTGGATGACTGCTAGTGAACATCGTGTATACAAGCGGTGGTGAGCGAGCGCCCGGCTCATGGGCAAACCGTCACGAGGTGGTGGTCGGGCGTCGCCAACAGGCGGGTGATTCGGAGTATCAACTAGTATCAGGTCCGACGCGGGCTCCCGCGCTGCCTCGCGCCAGCCAAGCCCTCTATACGCTATGCAGCACACTGTGTGAGCCAGTCGTAGCGCTGAGATGCCACATTCATATGTGCCGTGGAGGGTTTACTTATTTAACTCTCAATCACCGCTAGTCATTGTTGACCGCCGTTGGCCACTCCGATTCACGAGCAAGCCCAACAAAAAGTTACAACTTATTTATTACAACTTATTTAGGCTGAAATGCCTCTTGAGTGCGTTGTTATGGGCGAGTCTGACATAGCCAAGGAAGAAGAAAGCAAACGCAGGTCGCCGCTGTCAGCTTTCCATCTCGTACACAACGACCGAATTCACAACCGACCGAATTCTGTAAGACGAATCTTCCGATATATTACAGTCTGCTCTAAGCGGCTGGCGCGCACGATACAATAAATAAGCCTGACCGGATCCATCAAGGAAACTCGGTACGTAGGAAACTCTACGGGTTATTCTGCGCCACATCACCATATTCCGGCGGGTCCGAAACGTGACTGGGCACGTTGTATGCTTGGTGCTGCTGAAGATCTGACAATGTCGCTCGAACCTCGTGGATTCCCGTAAGCAGGCGCTGCAAGACTCCCACGTCTACCACAGCCCGCGCGGGTCTTTCTGGGTGCGTCTGGCCTCTACCAATAGCCTCAACTGATCCAGTGAGCGACGGCGTCAAACTAGGCTGGTGGATAGACCCCGAGGTCACGTTGCGTTCTCTCATGGGCTCCACCTTCAGCAAGCGACCGGGCGCATCCATGGCTGGCACGATCACGCGAGCTGGTCGACCATGATTAGGGAAATCTTGCATCGTCCCAGTGTAGGGCTCTGCGAAGATTTCAAGTTCTATCGGGGCAGCTCTACGCCCTCTGCGTCGGCGCCAGTAACATAGGCCTAAGAGAATGCCAAATGCTAGTGACGCGCCAACTACGCCCCCCGCAATCGCTCGGGAAGTTGAGGATGAAGATGTCATCGCGGTACCCGATGGTGAAGCTCTTGTAGGCACTGAGTTTGACCAAGGATCAGATGAAGAGGTTGGACTGATGCTCCCAGAAGGGTACATCCAACTGCTGTCCGTAGTAGTGTCGTTACTGGTTGTCACGTTCAAGGCCGTTGTGAGGACCTCGGCCGCCGTGAGTTGACCCCATGTGGCGAGGAATGGTAGCGGCTGGCCAGTCCAACTTGGGCTGTACGCGAGCTGTCCGTTGACAGTGCTATTCGCGAGCCCGCGAATTGCATTATACTAACGTGATTTTCTAGGTCAGGATGTGGCAGAAGGTTAAATAGAGCTCACCTGGATGGCGATGATGGCGCTAACATTTTGTGCCAGCTCTGACTCAAGCAGCCCAAACCGGAGACTGGTGTAGAGACCACTGAGGAAGATTACTGTGGGACTTGATCAGACGAATTGGGGGCTCTATGTTTGCTGATGTATCTCACCTTTCCAGTCACTGGTCTGCCGCGAGTTCACCAGAGTCTGCTCGTCCGGTTGCGTGCTATCGATGAGGGCATACTCTGTATCGCTGAACGTTCCTGTGACCGGGTTTAGCCCAGAGTCACGACGACATCCATATGGACTCACCTCCTTTCATCACATAATCTGAGCGATACCATTCCGGTACCATCAGTAGTGATTGCACGAGGGAGTTAAGGCTGAATGATAGGTGTTTATCAGATCAGCGACTCGTCAAGGCGGGCCCAACCCGGCTACTCACTAGCCTTGTTGCGAGTGGTCGCCGGTCATCGCCGTATATGCAGCCAAGCCTTCGACAAAGTACCCCGAGTTGTATGTCAAGTCATTTGACACGCCCATTGTACAGTTGTTGAGATAGATGCTCTCGTGTATGGGAGTCTTGCCGTCGGACAGAAAGGTTTGCGTAAACCCGATAGCAATATTGGCGGCGTATGAATAGGTTTCGTTGTGTGTTGCATTGTATAGATACGACGAGAGTCTGACGGAATGTCAATACAGGGGCGCGCGGGGTCCGCGATAGCCTGCGCACGCGATGTATGGTCTTTGTTGAGCGTCAGTGTTTGCATCTCGTAAATTGATGATATACTCACCCCATCGTTTCCGAATTCGTGAGCACATCTCCCTGCTCAAGCTACCACATACATCAGCGAAGCACATGGCACGCGGATATGTAGGGATCAGACCCAAAGCACTGCACCCTGGACTGACGCTGAGAACGAATTTGAGCTGGAGGAATGGAAGTCGCAAAGAGTGATGCTTACATCCGTTGCACGAAGGCTCGAACGTCGCATCTATCGATGACAGATGCCCGCTCAAGGCGATGTCAGGGGTGAGTTGGAACGGCTGTAGTAAATTCCAGGCGGCCTTCGCGCCTTCCAAAAACGATATTTGCGTCTGGCCGTCGTACACGGTCGACGCATAATAAGCTGCAAGACCCCAACGTCTATAGCCATAGCCTTAGTATGGCGTGCAAAAAAGCATGAATAGACGCACGCGGTGTCACTATGTAGCGTTATCTGGAAGGACGGATCAATATCAGATTACAAGGCCTCACAAGGTGGATGGATGAAGCATACCCTGCGATGGAACTCGTCAAAATGCGTATGCGATACTCAACGGACGCGACGTACGGGGACAACTTGGGATACTGATTCCGAAAGGCAGTAAAGGCAGCCAGGGCGTGGCTTTCATACGTCCGATTGCCCGTAAGCTGGTCATAACGACTCAGGGTCTGGATGAAGGTCGCAGATTGAGCTATATCGAGACCTGGACTGGGATCTAAGCAGACATTAGGGGCATTAATAGTCAGTGCGGCTCAACAGCCCGTCTACGCACCCGTCACGACGCCTGACGAGGAGTTCAAGCCACCCACGAGCAAGTCAAGTGCAGACTTCGCTACAAAAGCCTTCCCGGCACGCGATATACTGAACGAGGGTTCCTGTGCGGTGACTGTTAAAACAGGAAGAGCCGGAAGAGTTTCCCATCACGCACCCGCCATGAAGAAGGTATCGCAGCAAGGGCTCCAATCGGTACAGAAAGACAATAAATCACGGAATTCAACTGGAGGCGCAATACTTGCATGGTGACGGGCTAGATTGAAGGGGCAAAAGCAGGACTTGGAACCCACGTTCTGTTCAGGTTGGGTCGTCAAGGGATAGAGAGTGATATGTATACCAGGCGGCTTACAGGTCATCATGTTTGCGGATCATCATGTACCGTATGGTATACAACGACAACGAGGCTCTACTGCTCATCGTCTCCGGCTGTACTACGTTGCCGCTGGCATGTGGTACCTGTCATTTCGGCGGGGTATCCGGAGCCAAACAAGGATTGTTGCTGTATCGTCAGACTTGCCGGCGTATTCATGAGGAATAAGCTGATTATTCCACGCTTGCGCTAAGCTCTGGGGAACGACCGCATCATGGTCGGGATCAAGTTGTCTTGCAGGGTGCGACGTCGGTCCGTCATCCGGTCACAACGCGGAGCCGGCTTCAGCGCCTCCAGCTTCGACAACCATGAACATGAAACGTATTTGCCACTGCTACTACTGCTTGCCTCGAGATCTAAGAGGTATTTGACTCGCAGCTGAGCCCCTTTGCTCCCAGCCAGTTCATCGGCGGCCCACTATCCGGGGCTCGCTATTCCATACTCGCGTCCCACAGAGTGGATGCGCCAACGCCTGATCCACATACTCTCCCACGGGCGCTCAGACTCCACCCGTTCCAGACCCATGCAGGGGTTCGCGGCACACAAGTTCAGAATCTATCACGACCTATACGTCTGCGCGCGTCTCCAGTGCAGCGGTACAGTAAGACGGAAGGAACATTGTGGTGTGCGCACACGACGGTGCGAAGTCATCTGCTGCCGGTTATAATGTGTGTGTCCCGGGGTGGCTCGGATGTGAGTGGTGCGTTTCACGTCGATCTTCATGCTATCGTCGTGTAATGACGCTGAGTGTAGATATATGCGTTAATCGGCCCCGGCGGAGCTTGACCTCGCCCACCATGTTATTGGACAACCAACTGTCAAATGGTGGAAGGTCTCATGCATGCTCTGAGTTATGTCGTCTGCACAACGTGCTTCAGTCAGTGCAGATTATGGAGGCCGGAGCTGTAAGAGAATATGGCATGCAATGGGTGATCTGAGGCCCCGTCACTCGGTAATCCTTCCATGCTGTGGTCAACCGCACACTCATCTTGACCATAGGTCAACGGATACACCTCGTCTCATCTCTGACGTATTCGACCTTGCTGTTCCACTTCAACTGCATGGTCCGAATTCCAGCGCAACGGTAAAGAGCTGCGAAGAAATGCACAATGGCACGCGGACACGACGGTGAGAAGCTCGCCATCGTCGGCTACAATGCGTGTGTCCGAGGTAGTTCGGACGTGAAAGGGTAAGCCCATGGTCTATCCTTATCTTATTGGTCCAATGCTAATATACCTTTGGATCCATTAGGCTTGGCTATGATCCTGGGCTCGCATAGTGTACCTGTGGTCCGACATACCGCGCCAAACTATGCAATAGTTGTGTTCGCCATGCTAAGCGACTCGCCGGCGAGAACGACGATAGCGTTTGTGCATGGGCCTGCACTCGCCCACCCATATTCGGTCTCGCACCCTGCGACTGAGCCACTTAGTCGGTATGTAGAGTGACGAGACGACGGTATGCGGTAACGCTGCTCTGTGGTACTTCGCACTAGCGCTCCCCGCGCTCCTCGCCCCTCGTGCGTCTCCCTGGAGTTCTCGACCAATGGCATTCATCATCATTGCTGGGTCCGAACTATCCCTACCATTACCGTCACGTTAGGCGCACGCCAGGGTACGCTAGAGTGGAACGAGGGCGGCGTCACAGACGCACGCCGCGTACCATAGCCGCACGCTCGCGCCTGAAGAGTTGTCTAGCCGGAACAAGGGCTGAATCCTCAGGAGCCCATTGGTCCTTTGGCTTGGACCTCGGCTGTAGAACGTCGATCGCTGTAACATGCTCCGACGTTCGTTCTCTGGAGGATAGGCCAGACTCGTCGACGGTGGAGTAGATGGTTGTGAACGGACAGGTATAAAGACTCGGGCCAAGCAGGACGACACAGGCCAGAGCTCTTCGGTCTTCTTCAGCTCTACGCGGTATATCAATCGCAATGGCTTTCACCGCTCTCCTCTCTACTATCGCTCTCGCAACCGTTGCCAGCGGTAAGCGCACCCTTCCTCACAAGCTACTGTGCACATGCTGATGTTGATCGCGTAGCCGCCATCACCAGGCGCGTCACCTGCGCCGATGGCAGCATGACGGCCAACGAGGCATGCTGCGTGCTCTTTCCCATTCTCCAGGATATTCAGACGAACCTGTTCGACGGCGGCGAGTGCGGCGAAGAAGTCCACGAGTCTCTTCGTCTCACCTTCCACGACGCCATCGGTATCTCCAGGGCCAACGCTTCAGTCGGGTTTGTGCATTCCTTGCATCATCCGCTCAGTTGCTCATGACTCTGTACAGTACTGGCGCGGACGGATCGTTCATACTGTTCGAGGACACGGAAACTAACTTTCACGCAAATCTCGGCACGGACGAGATCGTGAATGAGCAGAAGCCCTTCGTCGCCGCCCACCCCGAGATCTCGGCCGCAGACTTCATCCAGTTCGCTGGCGCAGTCGGTGTTTCGAACTGCCCTGGTGCACCCCGCTTGCAGTTCCTCCTCGGTCGCAAGGACGCCACCCACCCCGCAGCTGACAAGACCGTCCCGGAGCCGTTCGACACCGTCGACAGCATTCTAGCGCGTTTCGATGATGCCGGAGGCTTCACTCCGGCCGAGGTCGTCGCTCTCCTCGCCTCGCACACCGTCGCAGCAGCCGACCACGTCGACCCGTCCATCCCCGGCACGCCCTTCGACTCGACGCCCTTTGTCTTTGACACCCAGTTCTTCGTCGAGACGCAACTCCGTGGCACGCTGTTCCCCGGTACCGGTGGCAACCAGGGCGAGGTCGAGTCCCCATTACGCGGCGAGATCCGTCTGCAGTCCGACTCTGAGCTTGCACGCGACGAGCGCACGGCATGCTTCTGGCAGGCGAACGTCAACTCGCAACAGCACATGATGAGCTCGTTCGCGGCGGCGATGGCCAAGCTTGCTGTGCTCGGCCAGGACACCGGCTCGATGGTGGATTGCTCGGATGTCATTCCCGTGCCCAAGCCGTTCACCGGCTCCGCGACGTTCCCCGCTGGTCTGTCCAACGCCGATGTTGAGCAGGCCTGCGCTACCTCCGCCTTCCCCACCCTGAAGACCGACCCCGGCCCGGCTACCTCGGTGGCCCCTGTGTATGTTCTTCTCTCGCACTTTGTGCATATGCTCAATGCTGATACTCAAACCATAGCCCTCCCTCGTAAAGCCTCTACAAACGTTTATTTGGTCGTGCTATGTCCTTTCATACTGGCTTTCCTTTTTACACTTTGTACTTGGGGCTCACTGTGTGTTTGTCGGGTATCTATTCATATATCGTATTTTCCATCTCCATCTTGAGATCTCGTTCTCGCTTGAGTGGTCGCCCAAGAAAATAGCAAGTGCCATCGTGTGTAAGAATGAGCGGACGTGTCCCACATTGCATCCAACTACGACTACTATCGGGGAAACGTATATCAATCAACCCCAGCCGTATCCCTTCTCCTCATCAGCCGGTGTAAACGGCGCCGGACTTCGGGCCGTATTACGGGTGCGCCGCCCACTATCTCTCGTCGTCCGGCGCTCCTCCAACCTTCCGACTTGCGCCAACACATTCGTCAAGCGCGTTAACAAAGTGTGTATCCTCTGCTCGTCCAGTGTCCCTCGCGGTGCTCCAGAGGGCCCGGCGCCGTCTTCCGGATCAGCGTATGCGGGGTCGGGCGCGTACGAGCCGGGTGGTCGTGCGGACCATCCGCCTTCGCTTGGTGTGGGACCGTATCTTTGTGCTTGGAGTTTCGTCACACGGCCGTCGGTACCGAGGACTTGTTGTGTTGCAGGTGTTCTTGAAACTGTTGGGCCCGGGAGCAAGAACGGCTCGATCGTGCTGTTCGTATGTGTAGAGTCCGTCGAGGAGAAGGGGTTCACCATGACTTTGCCTGAACGAGCATTGCGGCGGCGTTTGAGGAAGAATAGCACGATGAGTGCGACAAGAGCCAAGCCGCCCAGCCCGCCGATTAGGCCTCCGACCACAGCGCCGACGGGAGAACCTGATGATCTTACGGCGCCAACACCCGGCGGCGGCGGTCCTCCAGTAGGCGCTGATCCCGACCAAGGATCGAATGAGGATGTTGGATTGGAGCTCCCAGGAGGATACATCCAACTAGTATCGGTGGTGGTGTCGCGATCGGTCGTCACGTTCAAGGCCGTTGTGAGGACCTCGGCAGCTGCGAGTTGACCCCATGCAGTGAGAACTTGCAGGGGTTGGCTTGTCCAACTTGGACTGTATGCGATTTGCCCACTGACAGTACTGTTCGCGAGCTCGCGGATTGCATTATACTGACGCAATGCTCAATTAAGGGCGGGTGACGACTATCGAGATGGCTCACCTGAACGGCGATGAGGGCACTAACCCATTGTGCCAGCTTTGGCTCGAGCAGTCCAAACCTGAGACAGGTATACAAGCCACTCAGATAGATCGCTTGGGGACATTGTGAGTAAAATGCGCTCTCACGGCCACGAATGTACCTCACATTTCCAATCACTGGTCAGCCTCGAGTTTGCCAGAGTCTGCTCGTCCGGTTGCATGCTATCAATGAGGGCGTAGTCTGTGTTGCTGAACGTTCCTGTGATTGAAATCAGCCTCAAGTCAGCCCACGGGATTCGTCGATAATCACCTCCTTTCATCACATAGTCCTCCGAGCGATACCATTCTGGTACCAGCAATAGTGACTGCACGAAGGAGTTGAGACTGAATAATAAACTCCCGTCAATTTAGGGACTACTCAGACCAGATTGAACTGGCCACTTACTAGTCCTGTTGCGAATCGTCTCCAGTCATCGCCGTATATGCAGCCAAGCCTTCGACAAAGTACCCCGAGTTATACGTGAAGTTATTGGGAACCCCCATTGTACAGTTGTTGAGATAGATGCTGTCGTGGGTAGGAGTCTTGCCGTCGGAAAGGAAGGTCTTCATAAACCCGATGGCAAGGTTCGCAGCGTGCGAGTAAGTCTCGTTGTGTGTCGCATTGTAGAGATATGACGAAAGTCTAACAGAATGTCAATGCCAGAGCACGCACAAGGTTCGACGGAATACGCACGCGATGTATGGTCTGAATCGAGCGTCAGTGTTTGCATCGCGTGAGTAAATGATATTCTCACCCCATCGTTTCCGTATTCGTTAGCACGTTTCCCGCCTCCAGCTACCACGTACGTCAGTGAGGCACGTAGCATACGGATATGTAGTGATCTGACCCAAAGCACTGCACCCTGAACTGACGCTGAGAAAGGATTTGAGCTGAAGGAATGGAAGTTGTAAAGGAGGTTGCTTACCTCCATTGCACTCAGGCTCGAACGTCGCATCTATCGATGACAGATGCCCGCTCGAGGCGATGTCGGGGGAGAGTTGGAACGGCTGCAGTAGATCCCAAGCGGCTTTGGCGCCTTCCAAAAATGATATTTGAGTCTGGCCGTCATACACAGTTGACGCATAGTAGGCCGCGAGACCCCAACGTCTATGGCGCTAGCCTCAGTTTGACGTATGGGGAAGCACGGAAAGACGCACGCGGTATCACTGTGTAGCGTTATCTGAAAGGGCGGGTCAATATCAGATGACGAGTTCTCAAGAGGTGGACGGTCGGGCGTACTCTGCGATGAACCTCGTCAACATGCGTATGTGACAGTCAACGGACGCGACGTACGGGGAGAACTTGGGGTATTGGTTCCGGAAGGCAGTAAAGGCAGCCAGGGCATGACTTTCATACGTCCGATTACCAGTAAGCTGGTCATATCGACTCAGGGTCTGGATAAAGGTCGCAGATTGAGGTATGTCAAGACCTGGACTCGGATCTAAGTAGGTGTTAGGGGCATGAATATTCAGAACAATCATACGGCCGCGCACGCACCTGTGACGATACCCGATGAAGAATTCAAGCCATCTACAAGCAAGTCGAGTGCTGATTTGGCTATAGAGGCCTTCCCAGTCTGCGATATTCTGAACGAGGGTTCCTGCGCGGCGACCATCAAGATGAAGAAGCCAAGAGAAATCTTAATTACACACTCGCAGTTGCAGTTTGTTGTGCCCTTGTTGGGCGAGAGCCGTTGTCAACCAAAGAAGGAGCGAAAGCCACGAAGATGAAAAGCAACGCGAAAAGAACATGGCGAGGCGCAAGACCAGCATTTGCGGTTCCAAGCCGGGTTAGAAGGGGTGAAGCCAAAGAGCTCGAACGCTCCGCGCGCGATGCCAGCAATACGAGTCGCGCACGGATGGTGGTAAGAGATCAAGAGCGTCGAGCCCACCTGCAACACCATCATATTCGGGGCATACAACTCATCGTATACACCCACGCAATCTTGTTTGCATCAGGGAACCTAGCCGCGATGCCACGGTTCAGCGTGCTACCGATGCGCGCGGCGTTGCGAGCGCTCATCCAGAACGCCTCAAGAGCGACAATCAATCAAATCCGCTTCTCATTCTGAGAAGAACGGCTCCGCGTTGTGCCCGAGCTATGTACTGAAGACGCCGGCCTGAACGTAAACTGAGTCGGGTCCAACTCCCAAAACACAAGCGCAATACGGTCAAATGCGGCGCGGCCGATACCGCCGGAACAATTCCCCCGAGCTGACGCGATCACGTGAGTAGTAGATCCGACACAGTGTTGCACTTGATTGCACCCGTTTCGCCGTCGACAAAGACTCACAAGATCAAGATCGACGCCGGTCTTAGTCTACTGAGGTCAGATGGCACCATGCCCCAGTCACTCGTCTCACCATCGATTCAGAGAGCGCTAAGTTGGAAATACCGGAGAACAGCCACTTAACAACTCGGCGACAAGTATTCATCGATGATATACGTCAAATATATAATTACTTGCACAGTACATGAAAGAAGGGCAGTAAAAGTGCATAGAAAATGGATCATGTTGTGTCTCATGCCCTTACTCCCGATGACTCTTCGTAGTCCGGTGGCAATGCGTTCAGAGACGGCCGATGACCGTCGCGACGTTGGAGATCAGAAAGTGCTCCGCCTATCCCGAGCAGTAGTCGCTGAAGAGCTTGTGCATCTACGGCAACCATTCCCTCAGCCGTCGGTCTTGACTGACCATCCGTAGGACCTCCCGATCCACTCGAACTTTCGCCCGAAGGCGAAAGGGTCTCATGAGCGGTGCTCACTTCCGACATGGCCGGCATGTATCGCGCGCTTTGCATTTTCGTGAGACGCCCCGGAGAAGTAGCGGCAGGCGCGAGGACTGATAAATGCCTTGCAAGGGGATACTGCTCTGCTGTGACGGTGTACGGCTCTGGCTCCGGCGACTCGACTTCCAGCAATGGCCCGACCACGCGGCGCGTCTTGCGACGCCAGCATAGAGCGCCTACGAAGATGCCAATGAGAATACCCACACCGCCCACCACACCGCCCACGATCGCTCCCACGTTGACCTGCTTGGCAGATATCTGCGAAGATGGCGTTGTCGTTACAGCGGCGGTAGGAGAGCTAGTTCTGTAGGGCGGGTCGAACTGTGAACATCTTGAATGCGACATGAATGAGAAACTCACTGGTCGCTATCGGGCCCCGGGCCAATGCCCAACGCCGTAGTAAAGAGTTCGGCAGCGGCAAGTTGCCCAAAGGCAAGATACTGTTGTAAATGGATCGCAGGTGCCACCCAGCTCGGACCGTATACTTGCTCGTCAATCCCTGGGGTGGAATAGTTGGCAAGTTCACGGACAGCGTTGAACTGTACGGATATGTACTCCTGTGCCAGAGCCATCGTGGTATCGTTGAGAAGTCCAGCCGATAGACAATTGTACAATCCGGTCATCAAGATGGCTAATGTCTTGTCGGTATACATAATTGTACGAGATTATTGCTTGCGCACCTTTCCAGTCCGCCGAAAGTTGTTCCTGGCTAAGATCGGCCGTAGTATTTGTTATCTGGTCTAGTTGGCACATTCATATCAGCAATCATACCTCGATGAACGGATAGGGACACTCACCTTCAAAGTTCACGCCGTCGGCTCCGGTCCAGCCAGGAAATAGGATCAAAGAAGTTGTCAGCTCGTTCAAGCTGAGGTACATTGAGTCAGACCTCCTTGACGTGAGGCAATTTCGGCTCACTATGCGAGATCTTTTGCATCCGGAGAGGACACGTTGCTATAGTATATGCTTGCGCCTTGTAGAAAGTAGCCGCCATTATACGTGAAAGTGCCTGGCCCCATCACGGTGCAACTTTGAATCTCGTACGTGTCGAGAATCATAGTACCATTAGAGAGAAAGTTCCGGACGAATTGGATCGAGAGCGCCGCTGCATCACGATATGTAGTGTTCAAAGTGGCCGTGTATAAGGATGAAGAGAGACTAGGAAGCAATCAGCGGGTGTGAGCTAGCTGGATGACAGGTACGCGCACGCTATCCAAGGGCCGATGGTCTCTCCGTTGATGATAGGCTGGCCTACCCAGAATACAGCGCCAGCAACAGTAGCAGGCGAGCCGCCTGATAGAGGCGCTTTCCGCAGCGTGAACATCGGTCGCACACGGCAGTGAGATCGCTTAGTTCAAGCGACTTACTACACGTCGATTCAAAGACTGGTAGGCCGGGAAGAGATCCGCTTGCGGCGGCTGTCTGGGTGACAAAACCGGAAGCGGCAGCATCCCAAGATGACTTGGCCGAGCTCAGGAAGAACTGCTGCTGCTGACTGTCCGAATAGGCTTGATAGGCGGCAAAAAAGGTCATCCCCCAGCGTCTGCAGCATATATCAACATGAGCGACAGAAATGATAGTAATTAGGCAACAAGACGTACAGGCGATCGCTATTGATCAACTGCGCATAAGAATGGTCAGCCCACAATACAATCATGTAGTACATCACACATACCCTAGAACCTTCTTGTTAGAGTCTTCCTCGAGGGAGAATCAAGACCACGTACGCTGTGCTCGTCCAGTTGACCTTTGCCGCAAATCCCTGAAGTGCTGCTGTCACATTTGACTGGAAGGTTCGAGTTCTGGTGCGCATGTCGTACAGCGCCATCGTTGCCAGCAGTGTGGCCGATTCGGCGCTTTGGGAATCGAGGGCTGGGTGTGCTGTCAGTCACCAAGCTCTTGCAAACGGCGTGTCACGAACAATTATCCGTTCCATTATCGAAGTCAATCTGACGGCTCAAAACAACCAGCGCGCTTTGCGCAAGGTTGGTGCGATTGTTGTAAGACACTGTGATAGATGGTTCCTACTCAAGTGTTAGCAGGCCGTCAATCAGCAGAAGACGCCGCACACACCCGCCATCCACTGGTTTGCGCGAAGACTTGGCCAGCGGCTCCCAGAGCTACTAGACGCCCCATTAGGAAGATACATACAAGGACTTGTTTCACTACGCAGAAGGTCATGGCAAGCGATGCCGAGACCACTCGGGTCACGGCAGGAAGAGAGTTACATTCATCCTCGACAATCGCGGGCCCGGAGGTACTCCCGATTGAAGAATACGGTCACGCAGCCTGAGCCACGTTTCGTTGCGAGCCTGGCCAGGTCTTGTGAAGGTCGTAACCATCTGCACAGGCCATTGAATGTGGAGTGCGCTCGGTATACCACGCTAACAGAAGAATGGTTAGTCCATCACACTCGTTGTAGGGAGATATGATGTCGGACTTACAAAGGAGATACCCGATTTATTCACATGGCTTCATCTTGCGTTCTGTAAGAGATTGGGATACAGAGCGGAGGATGGCATCGAGTGAGGATATATTTACCTTACATGAAGCAAGGCCGCACGAGCCACAGCACAGATGGTGAGCGTGTTTTGATGTCCCGCGTTCAGTGGATGACGACGAGCGGTGGGCGTCGGCGCTTATTGATTACCCCAGCACAGGGCACGGGGTCATGAGAATCAAGAGGCTAAGTGCCTAGATACACCATTGAGAGGCACGACAGGCAGTCACTACGGTACACATCTGACATCGCATGAGGAAAGATCCAAGCTGTAGGTTCATCGCCCCCTGCCAGCACGACGGTTTTGCTCTGTGCAAGTCGTCAGCGTATAGTTCGTATATGATAGTAGTAGGAGTGCACATACCCTTCATCTTCGCCTTCTTTGGCGCACCCTCCCGCGGTCCTTGTCGTGCTGCACCTTCTGCACACGATCTCTTTCCTCCTGATCCCAAAACTTCATCCGCAAGCAATGCATTATGTTGATGCGGTCGGGATAATATATTTGCATGACGCGCCCTGCAACCTTCGGCGGAGGTACTTCGCGCCCGTGCGCACCGAGAACCGAGGTAGTATTATACGCGGTTTGAGATATCGCGCGCATACGCGCAGAGTGCGACACTCGCCATGGGTGTTTGCGCGGAGGCGCGTTTGCGGACAGCGCATCCGATCGCGTCTTCCGCTCCGATCAATGCATCCACGCGGGCCTGCACGGACCGCCAATGTTCAACACTTCCTTGATATCGTTGCAATCACAGCTGGCTACTGGTTAATATACATGAAAGTGCTGATGTCGTAACTACAGTACACGAAGGCTTCTACTCGGCAGAGTCATGCGCTAACGCGATCCGAAGCGACGAAAGAGGTCGCGTCGCAACTGGCGGGATAGACGCGATCACGCGACTTGATTGGGTATCTCAATGCTCATTCATCTGGCTACCGGACAAGGCGATCTGTGGGTGAGTATATGGCTATTCAGGGTATGAACACAAGCCACAAATTATGCGAGCTCCCAAATTAACGCCACTATTGCGAGTCATCATATCTTGGAGGTTCAACGCCACTGTTCGGACCACCCAGACCTTCGCGTCTCTGGAGGTCTGACAGAGCACCCCCAATACCAACAAGCAACCTCTGTAGCGCCCCCGCGTCCACTGATACCATACCCTCTTGCGTTGATCTTTCGTTTTGCGTCCGAGGTGATGTGGCGCTTCCGAGAGGTGACTGCGACTCCGCCGGAATAGTTAGATCGGATGCAGTAGGTATGTACCGCATGGGTTGCAGTTTGGTCATGCGCGCGGGAGAGTCCACTGCTTGCGCTAGCATGTTTGGGTGTCTTGTATCCGGGTACTCCTCGGTTGTGAGAATGAAAGGCTCGGCGCTCATGGCAGAATGTGGTTCGAGCGTGGGATATATTTCGCCTGTCTGGCGTCTCCTTCGACGCCATAAGAGAACTCCGATGAGGACGCCGATGAGAATGACTCCTACACCGCCTACCACACCTCCCACGATGGGACCCACGAGGGACTTCGGTTGAGGCACCTGCGACGATGCTGCCGATACACGACTCGAAGCAGTGGATGAGGGCACAATCGTACTGTTGTGTGACGATCAGAGATTAGCGGGATCATAGAGGCAGTAGGTGCATACGAGTTTGATGTGGTCACAGTAAACTCGGTCCCCAGCGCAACAGTGAATAGTTCGGCTGCAGCTAACTGGCCATATGCTAGATATTGCTGAAGGCGCAATGGTGCGCCCACCCAACTCGGACCATAAACCTGGCCGTTGATCCCAGACGTGGTGTAGTTCGCTAACTCGCGTACAGCATTGAATTGCACCGCAATGTACCGTTGTGTCAAATTGGCGACAGTGCTGTTGAGAAGCCCTGCAGCCATGCACTGGTACAACCCAGAGACAAGGATAGCTATTTTCCATACGATTCAGATGAGATCTAATACCAAAGCTTCTTTGATGACTCACCTTTCCAGTCGGCGGACAACTGCTCTTGGCTTAGATCACCGGTGGTATTGGTAATCTGATCTGATAGCGGGGCGCGCCGTTCAGCCCATCTGGTCGGTGAAGATATCATCGCGCACTCGCCTTCGAAGTTAACACCATCAGCTCTTGTCCACCCGGGAAAGAGAATCAGTCCAGCAACCAGCTCATTCAAGCTATCTCTCGTGAGTACCATCGCCTAAATGACTCCCATGGAATAACAAACGTACTCGGAAACATCTTGAGCGGATGGTGTAGTGACGTTCCCGTAGTAAATACTCGCGCCTTGCAGAAAGTACCCGCCGTTGTACGTGAAAGTGCCAGCAGACATCACGCTACAGCCTTGTATCTCGTATGTGTCAAGAATCATTGTTCCGTTGGACAGGAAGTTCTTGACAAATTGTATAGATTGCTGCGCCGCATCGCGATACGTGGTGTTGAAAGTAGCCGTGTATAGTGACGAAGAGAGACTGATAGGACATGCATGAGTAGAGGTATCAGGCTTGAGCGCGAATGCAGCACGCACGCTATCCAAGGCCCGATCGTCTCCCCATTGATGATAGGTTGGCCGACCCAGAAAGTGGCGCCTGCGACCGTTGCCGGTATCCCGCCGAGTAGAGGAGCTAGATTGGTTCTTCAGCTGGCAATAACTTTTAACAGCTGACATACGATGTACTCACAGCAAGTAGGCTCAAAGAGTGGAAGACCTGGAAGAGAGCCGTTTGCCGCCGCCGCCGGGGTAACATAGTAGACATGAGCAGCAGCCCACGAAGCCTTCGCAGAGTCGAGAAAGGACTGTTGTTGTGGGCTATCGGGATAAGCTTGATAAGCGGCGAAGAAAGCCAACCCCCATCGTCTAGCAATCGTCAACGATAGATACACAGATTGTCATACGTTGACTACATACAGACGGTCACTGTTAATCGCCTTCGTGGAGGATTAGTTAACAGTCTGTCGACAACTTGATTGGGCATATTACATACCCTGTGTAGTGAGGTGCATTAGCGCATGAAGAGCGAACCACAGGGATGACCACCTACGGTGTAGTGGTCCAGTTTGTGACCGCCGCATACGCTTGTAAAGCGGCCGTCACGTTGCTTTGGAAGACGGTGCTCCCCATGCGTAGGTCGTACTCAGACATCGTCAACAGCAAGGCGGCGGACTCTGTCACTCCCAAAGCTGCACGCAAGTCAGCTTAAGATCCTGCCTGTTCATAGAGCGCGTACAGTCTGTGGCACCGCTCGTGTAGTTGATTTGGTGGCTCAATACGCTTAGGGCGTCCTGCGCAAGAGATGTACGGTCCGCGACATCGACTGTGATAGACGGCGACTGTGAGAGTGATTAGTCGGGTAAGCGCCTTGGAATGGTTGCTACGCACCCGCCAAGCTGCAGTCTGAGTGAAAGTTTGACCGAGAACGAAGGGTATACAGCTACAAAAGACAAGGAAAGAAAAAACCTGGAGTACTCGACAATGTCGCATTGAGGGGAAGGCGGACGACGCAACGACGGTTGCGATGGGACCACAAACTGTACTTAACGGCGCACATCGGGGGCAGTGTGAGAAGGGGGAACAAAGCGCCTGTTCTGTCAAGTTCCACGTATAGGACGGAACATACTACGGCCGCCCCATATTGATCGTCATGCCCATATACGGCTCTGCGATTTCCCCATTTGCGAGAGATGATGGCTCGCCGAGCTAAAGCCCATACACCAATACATGGCACGTTCTGACGAGAACGGCTAATGAGCGCTACGGCGCGTAACCGTGACAAGGAATGATCCCAGCCTTATTCACTAGCGTGTTATCCCAGGAAGGTGTCCGTAGGGAAGCTCTTATCGTATAGCCTATGAGCCCGAGTGAATGAACTTGTCAGGCATTTGAATTTGATGACAGTCCTGCACGCGAGTCTGGATGCCTTGCGTATACCGACTCGTATCGTTTCTGTGCAAGTTCGTATCTGGATCGCAGCCTGAGGCTCTGAGTGTCCAAGGCTGAAAGCTCTAAAAGGGCTAGTAGCGTAGCCCATATAGGTGGACAAGTATCATGGAAGACACGGGCCCGACAACTGCGTTGTACGGTAACTGTGAAGGACACCGGTGATGATGGGAGAAAGCAAGAAGAGGCGCTGGGATTCAGTGGGCGAGACTGCGGACCGGAGTTTCGGATCTAATATCCGACCCGATCAAACCGACGACCAAGGTCTATCGCCAGTGTGTACTTAACTCGAGTATGTGGGATCTTCCCGAACGATGTGAAAGTCTATAGTGAATTGTGGAATTCGATATACATGTATATATTTTCTTCATACGCCACACAGCCCAACAAATCGTACAGCTTCTCCATTGCCCCTTACACAGACAACACGCCCTTCGCCAGCGCCATCTCCGCATTGATGATGCTGCTCGTCGCAGCGCCCAAGTTGACATTGTTGACCAAGCACACGAACTTGATGTCCAGCACCCTACATTGCCTGACCCTTCCCACACTGACGCCTGCGCCGTTATCGAGTAGTCGGTCCAAACGCGGTTGAGGCCTATCCGGAGCCTCGTGAACGGTGATCGCGTGCCGGGGCGCTGAAGGGCAGCCGGCCGCTTGCGCGTCCGGTGTGAATGCTGCCAGCGCTTCACGGACTTGTTGTGGTGATGGCGGAGGCCGGCGCGCGAAGCGCACAGAGACGGTCGCTGTGTGGCCCTCGAGGACCGGTACACGCGTGCAGTTCGCGGAAACGCGAAGAGGGGTATGCGCGTGCATGTCGAAGGCCAACGCCCGCTTCAACCCAGCTTTCTTCGCAGATGCCTCGTTCTCTGTGTCTTCTTGAAGGCCACCAAGGATCTTGAGCGTCTCCCACTCGATCTTCTCTTCTTCGCCCGAGATGTACGGTACGACGTTATCGAAGATGTCGAGCGATGGAACACCCGGGTACCCAGCGCCACTGATCGCCTGGAGCGTCGTGCAAATCACCGTCTCCAATGGTCCAAATGCCTTTTCAAGGGCGTGTAGAGGCACGACGATACCCGTAGTCGAGCAGTTGGCGTTCGTGACGATGAAGCCCTTCTGTAACGGCGGGGAGTGGAAGGCGCGTTGCTGAGGCAGCATCGCAAGGTGACCAGTGTTGACCAGAGGGACAATGAGAGGGACATGGGGATCGCGACGATAAGATTTTGCGTTGGAGAAGACAGCCAGTTCAGCGGCGCGGAAGGCAGCCTCTGTTATGGATATAGATTAGCACATGATATGAGATCAGTTGTGGCCCAAGGCGTCTGACAGCTTCCGTCAACTTCTCCTCCCCTCTCAGGTTGACAGCGCTCTCGCTATGATAGAAGCGTAGATCCTTGAGACCAGATCAAAATAGAAGCACCCACCGATGTCGCCTGCAACGTCTGCATCTAATCCCGAAAAGACGACCGCACAGTCTTTGAAGAACTGGGGTTCGCAAGGATGCACCACGAGCTCCTTCACAGCGTTGGGGATAGACTCCGATTGCTTCCAGTTCACGGCCTGAGGGTATGGTTTTCCGGCTGATCTCGCCGAGGCACCCAGAGCATGAAGTACGAAGTAGGGGTGATTCGCCAGCAATAGGATGAAGCGCTGGCCAACCGTGCCAGTTGCACCTAGCACACCGACGCGTATAGGCTCTTTTTCTGGCATAGTATGACAGGTAGAAAGGGAGAGGAAGTGGTGGTCGGAGGCAAGCGCAAAAGCGAGCCAGAGTCAGAAGTTCCGAGGACCGAGAAGCCGCGCCGAGTCCGATCGAGTCGCGTCAACGATAATCGACGGAATAAATCCTTTCGGCACACGCTCTCATCATGGCCGCGAATGCCGCACAGAACGACCAGCAGCGGTACTACGCACCCCACCTGCAATCAAATGCATTGGCATTGGCAAACGTGAAGTTCTTTAGCGCGTGCTTCGCTGGCGCAGCGGCAGGCGTACTCGGGCTGGAGAACTGGGCCGGATTCTCTCTATTCGCCTTCGCCACTATCCTGACCACCACCATATTGTCGCTTGTCAACTACAAGGGAAAACCGACACGATATGTGAAAGGAGGGGTCTTTGAAATTGCGAATCCCGGGCAGGAGAACCTAGCGTCGTTCATCCTTGCATGGACATTATTCTACGGTACGCCGCGCAGAGATATTATTATCTACCTCGACTGATCCTTGTTCTAGGCATTGTACATGGTCATTAGGCTACTTGATGCAACTGAAACTGGCTGATTGGTATACGCAGTGTACGACTGACCTCGGGATACCGCGCACCCGGCGCGGCGAACGCTCCCACCAACTGCGAGAGCCCTTCGACCGCCGCGCCGCGTCCAGGGCATCCTTGGCGAACGAGTTGAGACCGTTCGTCAAGGGCCGTTCTGTGATATATGTACGTCTTCCACGTCTTCGCCTTTCTCCGCCAGCTGAACGACGTCAAGGTTTTGGAATTCGGAACCGAAGGAGGCCTATCTGGCCCTGACCGCACGCACCGCCTGTTGGATCACTTCACTGTACTCGCTACATCATTCTCTGTATCACGATGCCGGAAACAACCAAGCCATGTTCAACGTTGAACCTAGAGTGCTGAGCGGACAGTGGCCCGAGATACGAGCGAGGGCTCGCCTTTGCGCCATCTGTACAGAGCTTGTGCCATATGTGTTCAGGGCGCTTACGGTGCGAGCTTCGTGGCGGCCTGCGCGTCTGGGCGCGTGCCTGCGGCACCTCAACCGAGTACAGCTCACGTTCGTAAGCTGTTCGGCCTTTCGAGTTGTCGTCATGCTCAACTTCCGAGCGTGCCCTGCGTTGGCGTATCGGAGAGCTGGGAACCAGTGAAGAGACCGGCGGGCAGCCCATACCTATGACTGGGTATGTCTGCTTGCGCAGCTCTTAGAGCGGTCCCGCTAGTATGCAGGCATGCCAAAACGTCGCCGGCGGACCCTTGCAGCGGCGCTCTCGCTATGACCAGTTTACTTCTCAGTTCTCCGAGGCTCCGTGCAGAAGTTCAACCGATCTCGAACCAACACCCACTTACCCTATCGGGCCGAAGCTCCCGAATACGCCGCGGCTTCGTACATACGGGAGAACTTACCCTGCAAAGCATGATCTGCAGGTGCACATGTTCCTAGCCTACGGTCGCGCCTGCTCTACAGCACCGCATGCTTGCAAACATATGAGTTTCTTGCCGTCAAGACTCGAGAGGGGTCGAGCTTAGCCTGTTACGGCCTCGCCACATGGTGCCGTACGGCGCGGCGCTCGCCACAACAACATCCACAGACATACCCATCCATCCTTGGAGCTGACGCTGAAGTATCTGCACAGTTTTCATCGGTTCACCGAGCGACCACAAGCCGGTCAGGATGCAGTCAGCTGCCGCTCCTGCTGCCAAACAGCCCTCGGCTTCCCCTTTTGGATCACTGATCACGACCTGCGATAACCACCGAGCCCGTTCACACCGCTCGAATCACAGCATGCGCCGCGTCGCTCACCTGCAGCAGCCCATCATCATCACCGACAGCACGCGCGTCGCAGGCACGCCTCGGTCCTCTCTCGAGATCCCATGTCCTCAGGCCTGTTCCGCGCCGCTCAGGCGGTTGGTATAAAGCATAGAGGTGCCGGAGGTGTAGAAGGCCAAGCTGCCCGCTTGTACATCCTTTCCTCTTCGGTGTCGGCGTTCGATACTGCACCATGCTCTCTGCAGTATTCACTTTCCTCGGCTTGGCGGCACTCGCCACGGCCAGCCCGATGAAGCGCTCTATCAATGGTACGGTTCACTCATCGTCTGCACATACACAACCACTGATACTGATGTGTTGCAGGGCCCGTCATCTCCGCCAACTTCCCTGATCCTTCCATCCTGTACGACAACGGCGTCTACTACGCGTACTCGACGACCTCGGGCGGGAAGAACGTCCCGATGTACACCTCTGGCGATTTTGTCAACTGGTCGCCCGTCTCGACCGATGCGCTCCCGAACGTTGGCGCTTGGGCCGTGCAGTACTCGACCTGGGCTCCGGATGTCATCAAGCGTACGTTGCTTGCATTCCTGCCGCGGGACGAGATGCTGATCAAAGATGTAGTCGGCACCAATAAGTACTTGATGTACTACTCGTCTGCAGTTGCGGGTAATACCAAGTACCACTGCATTGGCGCTGCGACTGCGTCCAACCCGCAGGGTCCCTTCCAGCCCGTCTCAACCGTCCTGCAGTGCGATATCTCGTGCGTCGCCTGCCCGTTTCCTATCCAACCAATACTCATACCTCTCCCAGTGCTGGTGGCTCGATTGACCCCGACGCGTTCATCGACTCTGACGGCTCTCTCTACATGATCTGGAAGGTGTGCACTCCGTTCAACAGCTGTACTTCCCGTTCTCACGCCTCCCTGTTCAGATCGACGGCAACAACATCGGCCACGGCGGTAACTGCAACAACGGCGTCGCTCCCCTCGTCCCCACACCCATCATGATCCGCAAGATGTCCGCCGATGGTCTCTCCTTCGCATCCGGCTCCTCCGCCATCCAGTTGCTCGACCGCGGCGACGCCGACGGCCCTCTGATCGAAGCCCCTTCGATGGTCCGCTCCTCCTCTGGCACCTACTTCCTCTTCTTCTCGTCAAATTGCTACAGCGGAAGCTTGTACGACATTGCGTATGCCACCGCTAGTAGTGTCACGGGACCGTTTACGAAGGGTCCTTGGTTGATGATCACCGGAAGCCCGTTTAGCAACCTCTACAGTCCTGGAGGCGCCGACGTCACCCCAGACGGCACGAAACTTGTGTTCCACGCTGATCAAGGCACAAGTGTCAATGTTCGCCAGATGTACACGGCGTCGATCAGCCTCAGCGGGACCAAAGTCAACATCTAGACGCTAGTAGACGCCAGCAGAGCGTTTGATGCGTTTTGAATGGGATTTGGGATTGTAATTGATCACTTATTGGCTGTATTCCGGGACTAGTGTATCTTTCAATGTACCACAAATTTTACTTGGGTTTAAAACAATGGTGGTGGCGAGTTATCGAACGCACAATGTGCAGGGTCGGTGAGAGGGTAGCTCAGATGTTCGGACCGGCGTCGGTGTCGCCACTCGCGCGCAGCCCGCTCCGCTCAGCGCATCGCCCGTACCTCTGCTTCTACCTTCTCGCTTTATATGTAGACCGTATGAACAAAGATGTCTGCCGTGTACCTCCCTCTATGTAGTCTGAGCGCAGGCCTATTCCAAAACATCTCAGACGATTTTTACCGCACGGGCTCGCGTATGTAGACGCGTCCGAGATCACGTCCGCGAACGACGCGTCTCCCCCTCCTTCGCCTCTGTCCACCACCTGGCCCTCCGTCAGTCGTCGTATGCGACGCTCTCTACGCCCCTTCGCATTCGGCACGCTTGTCTGCTCGGCCACTCGTAGGAGCGCACTCGACGTTCGTCGATATTCAACCGCAGCTTCGATGTCCCAACCCTCAACGACTATGCATGCGCGAGATGGCAACACTCGCCCCTCACCGGCGACGCGCCAACCGCTCCGGGAGGTTGATTGATGTCACCATATGGCGTCTCCGTAGCCTACAAAACGACTCTATGGTCGCTCTTGTAGTGGCGCGCTTGTTGCGAGCGGGTTGAGGACTTCATCCGCCGACGCCGCGGTCATGCTACATCATTCGTTGTGGTGCGTAGCCCTTGTATGCTGTGCCCTTCAGTCTCTGATCTCCAATGATTCTTCAGACGCGGTGCACGCACAATGTTGGTCTCCCTCACGATAACACCTCTATCATCGGTCGCATCTCGGCTGCGGTGCGCCGCGCCCGATTGCAGTTCTTGCCGCCGACACCATCCACCTGTATCTTCGCCGCCCAGCCGGACGCACGTCTCCGATATATACGCGTCCAGCACTTACTGCGCTTCATATGCGCGCGTTGTACATGCTGCTTGGTACCAAGGCGTCTCGACTGGTCTGCACATTGCAACACGGTGCTCTCGGGCTAGATGCCCGTCGCGCGCTTTCAAGCAAGGATCTCATCGACTGATATAGTCTTCGCTCAATGTGTACGTACCTCTACTGTGTGCCTCTACATCGAAGTACCGACATTGCATAAGTTCTCGACTGTTTACCTCACACTGTACGGCGTGCCTTCCCAGCCCTCCTCTCATGCCTGCGGTCATCTGCAGTGTGTTCCACCTCAAGACAGCTTGCGAATGATGCTGTAGGCGGTAGGTGTATGTCTTCATTCCTACCTTCATTGCTATCACCCATTGTCTAGCCAAGCTGATCTACACACCTACTGTCGATTGCCGCAATGAGCATTCAATATTCAGTACTAATCGCCTGCGAACGTATTTCGGCTAATTTAAGTTTATTGCCAGTGTAGTTCAGCAGAATAGACCTTTCTTGTATAGATACTTGGACTACGAGTCGCCATTGCTTTGCTGCCTACCTACGATTACGGGTGAAGCAACTTATGATACCAAATTCACGTCGTTCGCGTCTCAGATATGGGTCGACGACATTGAGAAGCATCATATATGCCATCATGGCATACATAGACCAGAGGGAAGTTGCATTCAACTCTCAGAAAATAGGGAAAACCGTCTCAGATGTCGTTCAGGGTAGAACGCGCAGAACCTGAACAATTTTCTATGTAAGTATGGTTCATACATAGCAACGGCAAAAAAGCTATATGAATACTTCAT